CTCTGCCATAAACTCATACCAGATAGCTCTCTGCATTTGCCAAAGGAAAAAAATTTCTTTTATATTGCCCTCCATACCCAAGAGAAGGGAAGGAAACTCATGGCAGAAGAGATGCCATGACTGGGATCAGAACTGGGTATCCTCCAGTACACAGGTGTGGATTTGTGTTAACAATATAAAGGCAAAGCTAGGGGTGGGGATTCACACCTTTGGTTCCAGCACTCAGGAGGCAGAGGCAGGCAGGTTTCTGAGTTCAAACCCAAGCAAGGATACACAGAGAAACCCTGTCTGGGGAGTTGGGGGGTTGGGGGTACTCTATAAAGGCTTGGAAAGAACACAAAGTCAGTAAATAAAGAAAATGAAAGCAGCCTTCTCAGTCACGGCCAAGACAATGCGTAAAGGGACAAGTCTGGGTCTTTTTTTTTTTTTTTTTTTTCTTTTTGCAACTCTGGGAACCAAGCAGAGAGAAGCCTGGGCATGCTGGGTAAGCTGCACGTGTACTACCACCGAGAAACAACGCCTGCATTGCCCACCATCCCCCACCTCCCCAGGTATCAGGTCTTTACCAAAGTTTCCCATCGGAAGATGTTGCTGTAGAAGCAGATCCAGTTTTCTGAGAGGTAGAGTCGGCCCTGAAGAAGAATGTCTCTTTGGAGTGCACAAGAGTAATCTGTGTAAGAAGCAGGAGATGGGAGCTCAGAAGCAAGGGACATTGCCAGCAAACCAGTGTACAGTGAGTGGGCCACCCATCCCTCCCAGCACCGGGGGAGCCCAGCCGTCTGCTGCTGACCAGGTGAGCAAGTCATTGCCTGGTGGCCGGATAATGCATGAGCCAATGATGGGCCAAATTTAAAACCATTTAAAAAAGTCCACTGGTGTTCAGTAAGTTCCATCCCCTTACTACCATGGCAGCAACTGGTTGTATGGAGCGGCCACTTGCAGAGGTTCAGTATGCCTCTGAATCCCCCCTGGGTGGGCACTCAAGGATGCATGCCACAGGCATGGTGCTTGATCCTAAGATCTGGGACTTAAGATGTCGCCTGGTGCCAGCGCGACCTTCCTGCTTGTGTTGGCTCTCAGCCTCTGGTCAGAGGCAGCCTGAGTACTCTCTCTCTCTCTGGAACTCCCAGACTTCCTGGTTGGCCCCCTCCCAGGATACTAGCTCACCAACAATGAGGCGCTCCGTGTCTGGAAGTTGCTTAAAGAGCTTTCTGAAGTCTTCATTTCTCTGCTTGTAAGTGGGGCTTAATACCTGCGTAACAACAGCCAAGGTTAGCATGATGCGGCCACACGCTGCAGGATTAGAGATGGGTGCTGGGGTGGAGAAGAGGGATGCTTGTGTGGTAGGTAGAAAGGCAGAGAGAGGAAGCTCTCTTCCCACAGTCTCTTAGCGGCCAGGTTAAGACAGGAGCCTTGAAGCCTTGGCACGGAGAAATAGCATGGAGAGTCTGGTCCTGAAAATCCTTTCATGCAGCATTGGTCAGTGAAAAATATGGAGTCCACGTGTGTCCCAAGAAGGGTAAGCAAGGAAGGAAACCTTCGAATGTCTTCCCAGGACCTAACAAGCCAGTTATCACTGCCCTGCTTCCTGCCAGTTCTCCCTTGGCAGTGGAAAGGAACCGAGGGCTAAGCTAGCTCTTAGCAGGACTTTGAAGAGGTCTGGACACTGTGGATCTCTTGAAGTTTGTTGTGACTAACACAGTGAGCAAAAGATGGGATTTTTCTTCAAATCATAAAACATGGCACAAAAAGCTTTTTAAAAAGCCAGTAATAGGAAAAAAAAGAAAAAAAAAAGAAAAGCACGAGTTGTAAAAAAGTGCATCTGGCACACAGGCATGGCACTTCCCTCCCTACCTCACCAAACAACCTGCCAAGCCAATGTACAATGAGAAACTGAGGCAAGACAAAAGCCTCATGCCCAAGGGTACCCAATGCTATACAGTGCCAGACCCCAAGACTCAGAAGTCCATCCTCCATAAGCCATAGAAGCCAGGGGAGGACCAGGCACTTGCACAGTGTATAGACTCAGACCCTAAAAACTGCTATGCATCCTGGGCCTGCTCATTGCCATAGACTAACTTAACAGATCTTCCTTGGAAATCCCACCAGCTAGTAGTTAGGAATTCTTTCGATGCGTACAGTCTTAAGAGCTTTTAAAAAGTAATAAATGGTAATAGAAAAGATGGGTGCCCGTAGATGAAGGCCACTCAAGGGTGATGCAAAGATTACAGCCTAGGGTGAGTCACACATGAGGACAGAGGCACATCTGCATTCCACCGGGCCATGTGCTGACCTACTTAACGCACACTAGGCTGCTGACCCTCTGCCAGAGACGCATGCCTAAGGGACAGATTGTCCTGCTGGCAGTGACATGTGCTTCCTGGCCTCTCACCCTCTCACCCACTTCCCGGGGAATCCACAGGCACACAGCTGCTAGGGAACGGACCCTTCAACTCGTCATGCTTCAACTTTCTATGAAGCTAAGTGACCCGCATGGAAACAGTCGTCTAGGAGTGATCGCATCTGAACCCAGCCTGACCCCCGGACTAGAGGAAGAGGAACGCGGAGGGAGTTAGAGAGAGAGAAAAATGTGTGCATTCAGCTTGGGCCGATGTTCCAAGAGAGAGAAACCAGAGAAGAGTGAGGAAGAGGAATTTCTCATTAACCTGTCTGTAATTTGAATTTCAGGCTTTTGTTCTTGACTGACTTACACGTGTATTATGAGAGGCCCAGTTATCTTCCCCAAAGTATACCACACTATCATCATATAATGTCAAACTTCCCATCAGGTTTCCAGGCCACTAGAGGAAGTCATCTAGAAGCTTATCCATTTCATGAATCCTATAGCTAGGAAAGACCTCAGGCCTTTAACCCCAGTACTCAAGAGTCAGGGAGGGAGATCGATCTTCTGAGGGTGAGGCCAGTCTGGTCCAAGTGAGTTCCAGGACAGTCAAGGCTACACAGAGGAAATCCTGTCTCAAAAACCAATCAAACAAACAAGCAAGGAAACAACAACAACAACAAAAAAAAAAAACTTTCAAACAAAGACCTCAGATACAGCAGTCCTCCAAGAATCACTAAGTACTATGCAGAGGCCTTTTAGAACCGAATCCGCATGCAGGAAACCTTTGCTTGACAGCCTGACCGCTCATATGGTCCTCACAGCCCCCCTTCTAGACAGCCTCACGACGAGCACACAGCCACCACATACATCACCGCACCTCACCACAGGGTAAATTTCATCACCCCACTTCATACTTGTGGGAAATGAGACAGAGGCAAAGCAGCTTGCTGAGGAATGTGGAGACCCAGCGGGAATGGAACGGAAGTCTTATCCAACTGCTAAAAAGAAAACCACGGGGTTTCCCGCAACAGCACACTCATGGGAGGAGAGACTTGCCCGCTTTGGGGTTCCCTCTAGCTTCTCTCATCCCTGGGCGAGTCTTTAAAAAAGTTCCTACAAGGAGGTCCCCAACCCACTTCAGGGGAAACTGGGTATATCAGGCATCCAGTAACCTGATGCCAAGAGCCCTCCTAGTTCCAGCATTCATAGTGTCCTCTTCCCTGGGATTCTATCATAGCCAATGAGAGAATTCCAGAACCCACAGAGATAGAGGCACAGAAACCTACGTACAATCTCCCAAAAGCAAGCAGGAAAGGACATCGATCGTTTGTGCTTATAGCAGTGGGAATGAATAGAGAAGATCTCCTTACTCCACATCTGTACCCAGCTGTCTTTATTCTGTCTGTTGGTGTAGATGGTAGGCCAGCCTCTCTGTACTAAAGTACAAAGACACATTGGATGGGAACACTTGGCTTTCAATCCCATGCCCCTTTGATGCTGGGGAACCTAGCCCCCCCCCCCACACACACACACACTCTCTATGTACTCGTAAAACATTCTCTTTCAAAGGTGAAGCAGGGCTCACCTCTATAAAATGGCCAAAGAATGCTGGCTCAAGGGTTGTCAAGTCTGAGACTCTCAGCAGGGCCGAGTGTGGCATGAAAGAGTGCACTGAATAGTCACAGGGACACGGGGAATTCGGGTGACACACTCACGGCTGGGATTTTCTCAGATCCATGCCAGCAGGAGCATTCTGCACCAACAGGTGCATCAGAGAGTCTCTTCAAGTACCACAGCAGAGACTGGCTATCCCGTTCCAGCAGGAGGCTCCAGAGGACCCCAGACTCTGTCAGAGATTCCATCACCCCCAACAAATGGTCCAGGCTAGGGTCCCCAGGTCCTTGCGCTGATCCTCAGGTTCCCTCAGAATGAAAGCAGTGAGTCTAGCCTGGCCTGAACCCAGGTGATCTCAGGCTTCTGCACAGAGGGTCTAGACAATCCTCTCTTAGAGCCGTGCTCCCGTGCAAACTCTCATGGATGAGAGGCAATGAGAAGCATGGGTCTCAGAGCGGGCCGGCTGGCCAGTGTCCCATAGCTGGACTCCGCTTTATCCTTCCCATGTTCAGTCCAGGGGCAGCCCAGACGGGGTGTGGTCAGGCGATACTCCCTGGTCGGTGCAGCCACTCAGGATCCAGGTGAGGCTCTAAGACACAGACACAGCAGGTACGCAACACGGGCCGAGAGTTGCAGAAGGGCAGCCCCACGTGAACAAGCAAACTCCGCAGAGCAGGGTGACCCACAGCTGGGTCCAGAGGTCTATTTCCACTAGCTACTCACACTCAGGGTGACTCACAAGTGACTCTTCGGGAGCTCCGGGGAGGCTTGTGGTGGCGCAGATCCTTAGTCCAGATATGCCCCACAGACTGGCCTGCTCAGTCAATGTGTCTATCCCCCATCAGACCAGGACCGCCGTGACTCACAGCTCTCACCCAGGCAGACCCGGCCACCACTTAGCTGCAGCACAGGGCCTGCGCTCATCCCCACCCCTGCACACACCCCTTTTGCCTCCAGAAGGCACTCCTTTCAGCTGGCCAGCAAATGACTTCTTTGTTAAGAGTCACTGGGGCCTGAGGGAGGGAGGCAGGGCGGGTGGGCGGGCAAGGCCAGAGCCCCGCACATGCTTCAAGTTACAGGATCTGGGTGATGGGCCTGGCCAATGTCCTACAGTAACCCCAGGCCTAGCCTGGCCTCAACCAGCAGATGTTTCCTGCAATGGAAAGTTGCTGGCCAGGGCTCTCAGTGGAGGAAGAGGAGGGGAGGCTCACAGGGCATCAGAGCTCTGGGGACATCTGAAATTTGAGACTGAATAGAGCAGGGGTTTCTTAAGAGACAGGTCTCTTCTAAGGAACGCATCTATTCGGCGACTTCTCTGCTGCAACAGCAGCCAACATGGGACTCTCCAAATGTGTTGGTCACAGAGAAGTTGGACAGATAGTCTGGAGAAGAGGAGGTCAGCCTGAGGTGCTCTCCCGAGGACTAGGCACCATGGAGGCATAGGATCAAAGCCAAGCAGAGTCACAGGCAAGCTGCTCAGACCTTGAGAGCAAACTGTAAGAGCAGACCTTCTGAACCCTGGTGAGAACGTGGGAAACAAGTCAAAGAAAGAGATGGCAGCCAGGCCGTGGGGGCACAAAGGGTGCTATGCCAGTGGGTCTCAAACCTGTGGGCCACGTCCCCTTTGGGGATCGAATGACCCTTTCACAGGGGCCGTGGACGATCGGATATTTACATGATGGCTCAGGACAGCAAGCACCACAACTACAGTTATAAAGAAGCAAAGAAAATAACTTTACAGTTGGGGGTCACCTCAGCATGAGGAGCTGTATTAAAGAGTTACAGCATTAGGAAGGTTGAGAATCACTGAGCGCGGCAGAGAGGTAGAGAGGGGAAATAGACAGTGTGGGGACTGGGAGGGTGTGGACTCCCACAAGATCCTCAAAATAGTCAAGGCAGCTCTGCTCTACCCCGCTAGCCCACCCTATCAGGAAGGTCTTGGACTGCTGCATCACGGGTAATGTTCCTTCTTCTTATAAACCTAGTAATTTCCTAGGCTGAAACTTTAGTATGTTTAAAAATTACTCCAGTGATGCCAAAGAACACAGATTCTTGGGTCTCAGACCCGAAGAGTCCAGCTAAGAGGAACATGACAGCCACAGTTAGGTTAAAGAAAGGGGAAAGAATCCTTGCCCGAGGCATCTTCTAACTCGCTCCCCTTTCCATCTTGAAGGACACCTGCCTTCATCCAACCTAAGGTAAACCCCACTCCATTAGATACCATCTGCCCTAGGAATGAGTCACCCTTCAGTTCAGTCTTCTCTAGCACTTAGTATTTCATATATTGTGTAAAAAATATCTATGACATGAATGCATTCCCTATCGCTTTATTGGTATCTTCACACACACACACACACACACACACACACACACACACACACATCCCTAGTCCATAAGCCTGACTTCTTGGAACGTAGTCCCCGCCCTGACTCAATCCTAAGATCAAGTTCTCTCTGCCCTATGTGTCAGCGGTCCTCAGATTTTGTGATGGGTAAATGCAGCAACTCTGTTTTCCAGGGTGGTTGCAACACTTCCCTTCAGATCCAGACCACACCCAAGACACAGGCAGTATAGACCATTCCAGAAGGCTGTGGGAACTTAACAGAAAGTCCCTGGAAACTCTGGTACCTAGGCCACAAACACGGGACAGCCGAGATGGTGATTATTTGGACAAGACAGGGACAGTTAACACCTAGAGACATATTGCCGTAGACTGAGGTGACTTTCAGTCTGTCTCAGCCCTGGTCTCCACCCCCTCACCATGGGCTTGGCAGGACAGGGCCAGAACTCCAGGAGCGGGAATTGGCTCCTAGCTAAACATTAACTCTACGGCAAACACTGGGTGCCGGGACCAACTGGTACCCTTTCTCGGTCCAGGCTCAGCAGGAAGCAGGGGGTGAGAGGGCCCAGGTGTAAAAAAATAGATTTTGGTTCAGCATTAACCTCACCTAGGAAGAAACAAGTGAAGAGCCACAAAGGAAATCCTGGTGCTTCAGCCAAATCCGGTAGGCAGAAGCCAGATGCGGGTGGGACAAGGAGGTGACTAAACACGGGGTGGGCCCAGGTGCAATGGAGAAGGGTGGAGAAAGGGAAGGATGGGGGGGGGTTCTCATCTGGAGAGGCCATACCACCACTGGGGAGTGAAGGATGGGGTTAACTATCATGAGGGTAGCAGCCAGGAAGATTCTTCAACGTTATGGGTAAAAATCCTAGGTGGGAGACAGATGGACAAAGAAGAAGGACAGTCCTCGGAGGAAATACTAGGCACTGGGCATGTCATCTCTGCCACCCCCAATACCTTCATCCACTCCTACAAAGCTTGTCCTATGGTTCTCGAACCGACGCCAGCGAGACTTGCTGTGTCATTCCCAGGATTGGCACCGGTGCCCCTTCCCTTTCTTAAAGCCAGCTTCCCTAACAGAGGACAGTGTTAGACAATGTGGGTGCTGTCTCTAGCAACTGCCCTATTCTAGGCTTTGTCCCTAAGTTGCTATGGAAACGCTAACCCCCCAAGGAATGAGGCATAAGGCAGGAGGGTTTATCTGCCCACCTGGAGCTCAGCAAGACCCATGCCTACTGGGACTAGAAAGGACCATATTTAATAGGCATGTGTCATTCCTCGGGCTTCAGTCTGACCAGCCTTATTTCTGACCACAGTTTCAAAGCCCTGCCACCTGACCCCTTAAGCTCCTGACCACCGGGACTGCACCCTTGTACTCCCAGGCTGGAAGACTTGCTGACTAAAACGAGCTGGTCAGTGGTCGTGGGAAAGGGCAAGATGGGCCCCAGGGCAGCGGCACCAGACAGAATCTTCATACACTCCCCTGACCCTGACATTCGGCCCTCCACGGACATCTCCCCATGTCACTGGGGTCTAGCTACTTCCCTTCTTATGATTCACCCTTCAGATCAGGTTTGTTATTTTGTTGACAGCTTCCCTTTGGCTAGCCCTAGGACAATGAGTTAATGGCTTTTCTCTTCTACAGACTGGGGGTGGTGATGGTAGAATGGCTTCCTCTTAAATTACACCCAGGCCCCTTGAACAGGTCTCGGGGGACTCCTATAGTAGTCAACACTCTGTGGAGCCCTGACTCTAGCCTGTTCCAGGGTAGGAGACTATAAAGCTTCCATCTAAAGGACTCCTAGTGCCAGGGATAGAACTTGAGGTAAGGCAGTTGGTGAGCTGACTCTAGCTCGGAGAAAGAGAAAAAGCACCATCTACAGCCACAGGAACAGGGCACCAGGATCCTCTCTGAGGTCAGACTCCACCAGCCCGCTAGCAGGGAGCAACAAAGGTGAAAGGTAGGTCTAACACAAAGCGGCTCATAACAAAAAGGGTTGACTGAGAGCCTCCTGGAGACTATGAGGGGGGCAATGCGGAGGGACGGGTCAACCTAAGTTCCCCTGACGGTGCATATGACCACAGTATATAAGGCATAGCCACAGCACTCAGAGAGGTGGTACTTAGCCAGCCAGGGCCCAGCGATTACTACAAAACCCCACCCAACACGGGGCTCTCAGAACTCAGGTTGCAGATTCTCGTTCTAGCCAAAGCAACCGTGCCAATGTCCAGGGTAAATGTCTTCATGGGGTCAGAGAGAACCCAAGGGAAACTTCTGCAGTATCAACCAGACAGGCTAACCACACTATTAAGTGGCTCTGGAAAACAGAACCAGGGCATCTGTCTTGTCAGTAAGGGTAAGAGGATCTCATCCAACTAGCCTGTCTGGGTTCCATATCCAACCTGCCTCTCCGCTATTGCAGGCACTGAGCAACCTCTTTAGGAGCTACTCTTTTTTTTTTTTTTTTTTTTTTCATCTGATGGGTAGCTCTTGTACAGGAAATACAGGAAGAAGAGAAAGCAGAGGCCATGGACTGTGCGATTCCCATGCACACCTCTTAGTACCCGCAGCTAGGGCAATGGAAACCCTGTTTCTGGGGTCCTGATGGTCATCACCTGCCATTTCTGTTTCCTCCTCCACTTTCAATCCCTTCTGCTTTCTGCGCCAGCAGGCAGCAGCCCAGAGAAGGCAGGAAGGAATGTATGTGTTGGTGATCATCCTGGAAGACTTACCAAGGTTCCCACAACCTGTCATTACACTGAGTACCCGGATGTCACAGCTTCAGAAGCAGGCTGAGGGAGGATGGGGAGACAGAGAGGTGGAGGGGTAGGGTGACTCAAAACATGTAGCCATCGGGAAGAAAACGGAAAGGCAGCCAGGTGACTGGAGACCAGAGACCAGAGAAGAGCATGAAGAGGGGAGAAATGAATGGTGGGTGTTGGGGAGAGCCATAAAAGGAACGGGAAAGGAAGGCAAGCTGCAGCAGCTGCGCTGAAAGCCACGCAAGGAGAAAGGGAGCAATGGGAGCAAAAGCTGCAATCAAGATGGGATTTGCGTGTCCAAATCCGGATGCTTTAATTGCCCAATAGCACTGTGGCCATGTGTTTTCTGTATCCCTTAGGTGACACTAATTTCTGCAATGCCGCTCAAAAGGAGATTATTAGGGAGGAGGCTGGGGTATTTGCGACAGCTGGTCTACGACAGCTCCCACGCAGAGAGAGCTCCTCCCCACCAAGATAGGAGCTGCCATCATTCTGAGGAGGCCAGAGGCCAGAAGACCCTTGGTGAGGCGGGGAGAAGAAACAGGCGGGGGAGTGGGGGAAGGCAGAGTTCAGCTTCTCGTCCACCCGCTGTCATCTCCATCCTTAACTTCCCCACATCAACACGGGCCATTTGGGGTGCTCAGTGGGGCTGTGGTTGGTGGGGCAATAAAAAGCTGGTGGGATAGGCAGGCCCCGGGGCACCTTGTGGAATGCCAGAGAGTTAGCTAACTAACTTTGTCTAACTTTAGGGAACTCCTTACTACCATGCTGTACATGAACACACGCGGGGCCCAGAGGGATGATTGCGACCCGCAGCCCCACACTGAACACAAGCCTCTCCTCGAGCCCTTTCTCTGCTCCCTCCCACCCTGTCATTCCACCATCACATCATGATAGCTTCTCCGAGCCTCCGCTCCCACGGGAGCAGAAGTGGGTACAGGAGGAGGTGAGCTGGGGTGCGGGAGGAGTATTCTCAGCACAGACAAGGGCCTGAAGCCAGGCCACAGTGCACCTCAGCTCTTCCACTAGGCAGTGCCCCGGAAGGCATCCAACATGTGACCAGGGAAGGCTGAGAGACTCCGGTCAGCTCTCCTTCCAGGGAAGAGTTTGGAGCCTCACAACCTGATCTATGTAACAAAGAGAACAGGGCCTTCACAGGGAGGGCCTCACGACCTGGTCTATGTAATAAGGGGCACAGTGCCTTCACGGGAACTGCTAAAACTCCACAGGACATTGTGAGGGCTCAGAGCTAGATAAATTGCCACTAGGAATGACCTTGACTCTGCTTCACAGACCAGAAGCAGCCAAGCCCTACAGCAGGCGCTTGCTCTGGAGGACACTGGATGTCGGCGACACACTCCATCCCATAGCATAGTCTCTCAGCTCCAGTTTCCCCAAGAAGACATCTTGGTTAGTGGATGCCAACTTTGGCTTCCTGGCTCCCTGACCCCAGAATTCTGTCTGGCCTTGAAACAGTCACTCTCCCACGGCTGCGCTGACTTCACATAGGGCGCTAGATGAGGAAAGCAATGAGGCGGGTCATTTCTTTACCTCCCCAAATCAAATCCTCCTCCCTAAGACTTATCCATCCTGCTAGAAATGGGAACTACTCTATCTATTTTGGGGTGAGAAAAGGTTGACAAGGGCAAAAACTCAGAGAACTTGACAATGTTACCTCCCTCTGCCCACCTCTGCCCCGCCCCCCCCCCATTTTACTAACACCCAACAAGAAGAGAAACAGAAATACTTACATTGTACCAACTCTGGCTTTTCTGAAAAGAAAAGAAAAAAGAAGAATGAAATTAGTTAGGGAAGAGATACTGGGAGCAGCCAGAGTCTTCCTTCCCCCTGGGGTAAAGGTAACACAGACAGCAGTGGAGGGCCAAGGAGAAGGAATCCAAATGCAGCCCAATGCTTCCCGTGTCGATGCTCAGGAGGGTCCTCCTTTCGCAAGACAAATCCAGAAAGGAGGCCCAGGGAGCAGTCCATGCTGGAAGCCCCACCACAGCTGGGGCGGCTGGAGATGCAGGCAGTGGCAGCACTAGCTAGCGCTCGACCAGAAGGGAGTCAGAGCCCCATCCATCGCCAGGTTCTGCTGATGGGGGTGCGGGGTGTGTGGTAGGCATCCAAAGCCTCGTTCCTGAGTGGGTTTCTACTAGAAGCAAAGTATAGATGGAGCCCAGTACAGCCTTCTGCTCCGGGTCATCTCTGGCAAAGGCAGGGTGGGGTATCTCAGTGATGGCAGAAGAGGCAGCTTAAAGTCACACAGTGCTCCTAAGCTGGCAGGTGAGTAAATTCTTCCTGTCCCAACAACGGGCTGACCTCCTCACAGCTAACAGCAGAGGGATGGGCTGGGGTTCGGCAGGGGGAGAGAGGAGAATCGTGCCATCTTGGAAGGCTTCTCCCAACCCATGGTGCGACAACTCGGTGTTCACAAAGCCTCATTCTGTCCCAGCTCTAGAGTTGAGGAATTCTGGCTCTGACCTCCCCAGGGGATCTGAAACTTAACAATGAAAGAAGGGGAATGGCTGGAGCCTGCTGTGCCGTTTCCAGCCTCTACTTGTGAACATTCTGTGTGGGAACCTCACCGACAGGTCAAAGCCTGGATGTGAGACCAGAGGATGGAGCCTGTGCACAGTCAGCAGCCTGGAGTGTTTTTTAGCATAAATACAGAACTGGGCAGGCACTGTGTCAGCTGGTAAGCTGTGTGTGTGTGTGTGTGTGTGTCTCTGTGTGTGTCTGTGTGTGTGAGAGAGAGAGAGAGAGAGAGAGAGAGAGAGAGAGAGAGAGAGAAATTGACAGAACAGGGTGGAGGTGACTATGTGAACCAGGGTGGGAAGGGCTGTGACCACAACGATGTCCAGATGATCATGTGATCTCCCCTCACCAAGTTCTTCCTTTTGACCCTAAGTCTGGCCAACACCTTGACCCTGTACTTTGGTGGTGGGAGGCAGGCAGTAGAAGGGGCCCAGGCATGAATATGCTTCCCCCTCACACAGCTTTCACTGGACAGTCTGCCAGGGCAGCAGGTCACAGGGTAGACACTCAGTCCCCCTCTGCTAGGGGCTCTCTGTGGGGGTCATTCCTCAAAAGGCTGTCACTGTAGTCTAACCTAGGAAGGCACAGTCTTTTACCATAGAGCCACCCTCTCCTCCAATCCAGAAGCTGAAGGGTGAACCCACATATCCAAGACTGTTTCATCACAGAGTAGGAACTGCTACCTTGTAGGAAGGAATTCTGGACTTGGCCTCCCTATCATTCAACCAAGGCTCTACATGCCTGGAGGAGGGTGGATGGAGCAAAAAAGTTGTATCTAACAGGGCCTGCGCTTCTACAGACTTTTTGAATGTTCACAATGACAACTGACTCTAAGACCACAAGAAATGATGGAGGGTGTAGATGTTGGTTAAAAGCCCCTCATAATGACAGCGAGTACACTCTTGCAGCCATCACCCAAACTATACAGGTATCCTGTGACGCGCTAGCCCCGACCCAAGCTTGTCACTTGCTTCACAGATGAGGAACATCTCTCAGCTGCTCCTAACCACTTCATCCCTTGTCACTTTTGTATACAACCCAAAGAGGAAAGGGGTGGTGGGACCAGGACCCTCTGTGGTCCTCAAACATGGAGCCTGCCCTCCGGCCCATGCAGACAGAAGTGGCTCTCTTCCTACGCATTATCAAGATGTCAGTTCCTTAAGAAACTGCTTGAAACAGTTTCAAGGTCCCAAGAGCTCCAGTTAGAAACATCAGCCCCATCTCTACCTAGCTCTGTGATACCTTTATGTCTAGTATTTGTTATAAAGTGAGAGCAAGGAAGGAAGTCTAAGAACCGAAAGAAATGAGGAAGGCGCCCTCTAGAGCAAGGGCTTTGCAGGCTCTGCCCCTTATGGGAGCTCTACAGTGTCTTCTAGCCAGCACTGAGGGTGCCTCGGAGACTCGTATATTAAAATCTACAGTGACATCCACATTAACCCCCAAGACTGTCCAGCAGGAAGGAGTTCCTGACCTTTGACATGCCTCCTGGGGAAGAATTACATCCTTACAGCTTAGCATTCCTGGTCTGAGTGCTGAAAGTACCTCCTGTAAGGGAAGACCTCAGAGAGGCTTAACAAGGCCCAGGACGGTGGCAGGGGCCCAAACAGGCAGGACAGAGAGACTGCCTACCATTGTAGGCACAAGGTGGCACAGAAGTAGGGAGGCCAGGTTCTGAGAGTTTATAGCGGATGGTCAAAGGGGAAGGATGTGAAAGTACAAAGACAGAGCTGTTGGGGACAGGGTTAGAGCTGGACGTGGAGGACTTGGAGGACCTGTCCTGTGTTTCTTTGGACTTTCCTACAAGAAACCAGACAGGCAAGGACTAGATAGGATGCAAGGCTCCTGGAAACATACCCAAACTACCTTACAACAGTTTCCTGCCCTTGCATCCAAAAGCATCTATCTCCCAGAGCAAAGGCTCAAAGAAGTCTGGAAGGGGGGCAAGGGGAAAATGGGACCAGGAGCTCTATATTAAGCATAAGTTGGGAAGAAGGGCAAAAAAAAAAAAAAAAAAGAAAAAAGAAAGAAAAAGTCTTACTTTGATCAGATTAAGTTTGTCATACTGAAAAGAAAACCATAAAAAATTAGAATTCAAACAGACAAACAAACAGAAAGGTGAAAGGTCACAGTGGCACCAGTGGCACAGCACCGGGCATTGCCAAACACCAACAGAGAGCTAAGCTGCAAGGCAGATGAAGTGGCCCTATCTGCTTGGCAGGCCTGCAAAGGCTGAGCCGTGCTCTTGAGCTGGCGGGTGCAGGAAAGCATGCCCTGGCTCCCTCTGGTGGCCACAGGCCATCACTACCAAGTGCAGCTCAATTGTGGCCCAAACAGGGGAGGGGTTTCTGGGAGTGAAAGTCAGCCCTGGGGGTTCTGAGCAGAAGCAAGAAATCAGTCTCAACCACTGAGACAATGATAGGGAAGGTGAAGCCTTAATGATTTCCCTGTGTCTGATCCCCTGACCCCTGTGTGAAGGAGGCACCTTGCAGCCTGCTTGAAAACACACAGGGTGGCCTCTTTGCAGGAGGTGGTCACGGGTGACCTAGCTATGTCTGTAGCAAAAACAGCTCCAGCTCACAGAACCTCTGCACGACTATATCTGGCCACCTTGTGAGGGTGCTCCCCGGGGAAGCAGTGTTAAAGGCTTTTGGCCTTGCCCCAGTAGCACTTCCTGACAGCCCAACAGCTGGACCTGCACTGAACCCTCTGCAGCCAGTGGGTCTTGCAAACGCACGTTCCTGGTTGACCATAGCTGCTGCCCTGTGCACTCGCACGACATGGTAGTTCCCAGCTCAGCCGTCAGCAAGCTTTGTGCGGCTCACCGAATGAGACTAAAGACCCGGAGAAGACGTGGAGAGAAGGGATAACCTGATGCCCACATCCAGCCAGATCCTCCTTCTTCCGGATGAGCCTCACTCCCTCTGGCACACGGGATTTCAACTAAGGCAGAAGGGCGAGCACTCTGGCACAGTGACCCAAGGTCTTATACAAGCCCTGTCCCCAGATACTGGGCCTGCCTGAACCTGCCCAGCCTCCTACACACCGAGAGGCCTCTTGCTGGCTTCCTCACTCCAGGCTGTCCTCCACTGGCAATAGCCACTTCAAGTCCTGAGAGCACTTGGAGTCTGAAGGGCACAATGGGCAGGCATGGGTATGGGGCTTCGCGTTCTTCCATCAGGAACTAACAGTGATGTGCCTTCCTCCCCGAAGACGCCTGCAGACACTGATGTAAGTCTTCCCGCGGCTTCTTCCAACTGCACTGCTCCCCCACAATTGATTTCCTGGTCACTACTGTCTTAGTATCGATTGTTCGCCATTTACTCACTTCTCGGACCCTGGGTAGACAGAGTCTGGCACCTCTCTTTCCTGCAATCATATATCCAGAGCCTGGTCGGTCCTGCACAGTCATCAACCTCCAGACGCTGGCACTACACCCTCTTTGATCGAAACCCAGGGCTCTAAGCAAACTATGAATGAATTCCAGGGTGGTACAAACAAGGAAGTAGTGAGGGGTGCCCTGGCCAAGCAGCTCTCACGGGTGGAGGAAAAGACGAACTGGGCAGATGCCGGGAGGTCTCGGCAGTGCCATCACTGACCCTCTGTCTGGGGTCCCTCCCATCGGTCTCTTGTCACTTCTGCCAGAAGCCAGACTTATTCATCAAGGGGCCACAAAGAACAACAGTATGACTGACCGGAGGCTCCATACCCACAGGAAAGGAACTACCTACCCCCTGCAGGACTCTGCTTTTAGGAAGTACCACGCTCGAAGGGAAACACATTCCCACTAGTGATGGTGTTTGAGAAGCAAGCAGACACGGGGGCTGGTGGTGGAGGGGTGGTCGTCAGGCTCTGTTCTCTGACGTTCGGTGCGGTGGGAGTGGACCCTCAGTGACTTCCAAGCCAGACTGCCAAGGGATGGGGGCAGGGCACAGTGGGATCGGCCCTTCTGGGAAAGGGACCAAGCAGGACATATGGGCAGAACTGGCAGGGGTGGAGGGAGGGGGGCTGAGCTGAGCTGAGCACTACAGACAATCCAATACTAGAGGGGAAGAGGAAAAGACGGAGACAAAGATGGCTTACTTTTGAGAGGCGCTTGTGAGACTAAAGACCATGCATGCAGAGGACGTATTTGGGAAACAGTGGGGAGAAGAGGAAGAACAAGAAATCAGAAGACAAATTCAAGTGGGGAAACCAGCTCCCAAGCCTCCCGGGGAGGGGTCCCCTTTCTCGTGCCCTGCGAGTCTGGTGGTTTAGGAGCCCCTGGGCAGAGGTACCTCTTGATTGCCAGAGGCCTGGGAGTGGAAGGAGAAGGCTGGGGAACCACAACCATGTGAGGTCTCTGTGCTAAGCTTTGGACCAGGAGCCTGGGTGCACGGGTGTACGGGGACAGGAAGGAAAGGCCCTGGGACTGTCCCTTCTGCAAGATGAGGACTCGGTGGGCATGTAGGTAAGGCAGGGTGACAGCCAAGGAGGAGGTTAAAAATAACACTCTGGAAGGTTCCCTGAAGCCTTTCTTTCTGGCAATACAGGTGTCCCAAATAGTGTCCCTTTACCAGTTCAAGGGACCAAATTTAAAGGATTAGGCAGATGACCTCTCCTGGTCCCCAGAGCCCCCTCCTTATCTCAAGGGTCATCAAGTTTCTTAGGTACTACAGAGAGATGGAAAGGGGAGAGGAGGGGCATGCGGCTCAGGACTCGCCCTGAGTGTTTAGACAGGAATCTTTTCAATTAGGGTCTCCCCCGATGGCTCTGACCTGACCTGGGCGCATAGACACTGGGGCTGTTCAAGCATGTGAGTACCCAGTCAGTACCTTCTTCCTGCAGCTAGCTAACGAGGGGTACTGGGGCTCCGGCGTAGTCTGCTCACCTTGGAATTTTTGCCACCACTTCGACCAGACTGTGAAGAGCAACTGCGTTGCACACCCTGCTCCGGGGTGGATGGGGATTTGTCTGAGGAGTGATCTGAGCCCTTCTCCACCATGGTGTCTCCGTCTTGGTTCTGTGGCGTTGGCGAGCGGGACCGCTTCCGGAGGATGGGGGAGCAGGCCGGCGTGCTGCGGTTGGAGTTACTGGCAGTGCTGCGGGGGGCAAAGAGAGACAGGGAATGAGGTGAGAGGGTGGAGGAAGGAAGAAAAGCTGACAGTGATGGCAGGCCAGAGACCCATGCAAAGGACCCAGGCAACGGGCTGAGAAAATCAGAGGATCCAAATAGGGACTCGCTGTACTGTAATGCTGCTACTGGCCAGCAGGGGGCAGTAATGCCAGTGTAAAAAGGAAACTAAGACTAGAAACCAACAGGTAGGCATTAAAGTATTTACCCACCTATCCCGCAATCTCCCCATCCAATCCAGTTTGAGCTTTTACTACTTATGATAGGCAGAAAGTTATTAGGAAAAATAATTTAAGCCCTGAAAGAATCGTTGGCGTTCACTCAATATCACCAGCTCATTTTACAAACACTATGCGTCAACCCTTTTGTTCATAATGATAATCTCACTTTTCAAAGCATTCACATATATTATTTCATAGACATGTCTTTTTAAAACCATTACGTTTTCTTTTGCGTGTGCATGTGTGTGTGTGTGCGTGCGTGCGTGCGCGCCCGCAGAGATATGCCACAGCACACCTGCAGAGGTCAGAAAGCAACCTGCTGGAGTCTCCCCCCCCCCCCCACTTGATTGGCAGTGAGCACTTTTATCTACTGAGCCTTCTCACCGGCCCACATACCATGTGTCTAAAGACATTCAAGCAAGCTAATAATGGCAAGTGCCACTACCCTTAAGTATAAAAATTAAGACAAATGCCTGGCAGACAGAAGTAAGTGATCAAAGCAGAGACTTGGAATTTGCTTCAGATGGAAGTCATGCATCTGGTATTCGATCGAGTTATGCTGCTGTCCCAGAGGGGCAAGGTCTTTGCCTCTAGCCCCCACCCCACGTTCATCTCTAAAAAGCTTCTTGCACCTTCCCACGGCACCAAACCCAGTCACACCTCAGCAAACTATCTGCGACTACAAGAAGAATTGAAGCTTGGCTTGTGTTTTCAAGAGAGCGGAAGAGATAAGGAAGAAAAGGGAGAGGAAAACCTTGAATTCATTTTGCTTTGTTTTGAAAGGAGAGAGAAATGGAAGAGATGGACGAAAAGGGAAGGGGAACAGGAAGGAATGGGACTGCAGCCTGTGAGACCGCAACGGCTACAGAGCAAGGTGGCAAGGAGGGGACGCAATCCTGTCCGCCTGCTAGCTAGCCAGATTGGATAAGCCAGGCAACCATCTCAGGAAAACCACATTCTGGCCTTGCCTCAGGAAATAAGAGCGTAGGGTGCCGGACAGTGACATTTGCATGAAGAGCTGGCTGTAACCTCAGATGCCCCACTGGAGACATTTGCAATGATTACCAGGCTCTGGCTCCTGGATAAACTCAATATAGGAGAGAAAGTCTATATGCCCAAGCAGTACCACTGAAGAGGGGCGAAAGTAGGGGAAGGATCATTGTGAACCTTATTAGAAAAACTGAGAAAGAAAGATCAGGGAAAAGGAGAAAAACAAATGTAGCCAGAAGGCCCATGGCTTTGCTTCATCTGAACACAGAGTTCAATTAAAATCTTGTCTGCCAATGACTTGAAGAGGCCCCAGGTGCCTCTCAGAGGAGGCGGTCCAACTTCTCTCCCCTTGCAACTCCATCCTTTTTCTTCTGACTCTCTAAAACCATTTGATACCATGAGCCCTGGGGAAAAGAAGTTAGCTTCCTTTTCTTCATGTCAAGAAGCTGAACCACGTGTCTGATGGAAGCAGACACCCCGGTCCTCTGGGAGAGCTTAGGGAAGGAGACCTGTCTAAGAAAGCCTCCTTTATCTTGGGACAATTCCAGCCTATGTCCAAGTGTTCAGGAGCAATCTTTCTACTCACTCAACCCCAACCAAAAAAAAATGGGGGGGGGGAGGAAGAGGAGGAACACCTGTCTATCACAAACACAAAAGACCTTTCCATCTTCCTGAAATAAAGGCCACTTCATACAGTCTGATTCTAGACCATGCTCATAAGTGGCTGCCGGGGGCAAAACAAAGTCAAAGGTATAAAACACTGGATGCCAGATACAGTGCACAACAAATAACACGAATGGAGTAGGTAAAACGGCACAGCTCTTGTTCCCGAGCTGTTGATCCCAGTATAACCCCCAGGACCCACAGGGTGGGAGGAGAGAACTGAACCCCTGCAAGTTGTACTCTGACCTCTACACACGAGCTCTACTACAATGTGTGCTCGCTCCACACCGCACGTGTGAGATTAGGGAGTTAATTCTCTCCTTCCACCTCGAGAGTCCCAGGGATCGAACTCAGGTTGTCAGGCTTGGCAGCAAGCGCCCTTGCCCACGGAGTCATCTCTCTGGTCTCTAGCGTCGTCTCATGTTTCCCAAACTAGAATTTAGTTCTTCTCCAAATGTGTTCTTCACCTCTGTGGCCACGACTCTCTGACTTCAACTTGTCATTGGGTGAGTCTCCACCACCACCAGACATACACACACTTGCTGTTGTGGCCCAACAATACCGTGCCCAGTGGAGATTTCTTCCAGATGTCTCCTGAGCGTCTTCCCAGACCTCTGCCCATTCCCGGCCTTTCTCCAGAGACACCATCATTGCTCAGAAGTGTCCTCTCTCCCATCTCACCCCACTGTGTTCCACGCATTCTGTTTCCATAGGCTCATTATCCCATCCTTCCTTTCCTGTCCTGGGGTTCCTACCTCAGGTTCTCGGTGCTTTTAACTGAGTAACTGTGAACTTGAATATTTAACATTGTCTTGACTTGCCCAATAGCTTTAGCTATGATTTGACTGGTTCCTGAAAAACACTGAGAATAATAAGAGGTTGTTGACCCTTCCATGCTTGGCCTCTGCTCCAGCCCTTCTCTATACAAGAAGAAAACCCTGTAACCCTAGTTCTGTGCCTTAGCAGAGTCATTGCTACATTGCTAAAACCTCTTAAAAGATCAGCCATTGTCCTGTAGTCTTGGACAAGCTGCTAAGCAAATAAAACTAATTCCTATGCATTCTGTATAGCAGTCTACCATGCCCTTAACCTGATTCTACAAGCCGTAGTAATAGAACAAACATTATGCTTGGGGATGGGCTCAAAAGGACCTTACCGTACAGAGGAAGACCAGTATGGGGTCAATAGACAGGACCGCTGACCTGAATTCAGGAGAGTCCTGTAACCTTTGGCCTTTAAGAAACCTGAGACACAGCAGAATAAGTGCCTGGCCAAGGTGTTGTGACTGTGTGTGTAGCACTATAGTGCACAAGATTTTTATTGGCCACCAGGTACAATGTTAAACATTCAAGTTCACACAGGTGAATAAGGAAAGTTCTTTGTGCTTGGTACATTTATAGCGAGGTGGAGTTAGAGATGACCTCTTCTCAGTGAAATATAGGCTACAGGTGTTGGGATCCAAGAGAGCAGAGTGGGGGGAGGGAGGAAGGGAGGAAGGGAGGAAGGGAGGAAGGGAAAAGAAAAAAGCTTTCCTTGAAGTACTGGGTTCAGAAAATGTGCTGGGGTTATCCAGGTAAAACCATGGAAGTCAAGGCGGCAGAGCAGAAAGAACGAAACAGAAATCAGCACAATGAGAATAAAAGTCTTGAATAGCATGGAACGCGGGAGAGCGACAAGAAGCCGCTCATGAAACGGTTTTGAACTAACGCTCACGGGAGTCCTGTAATCATCACGTCCTCCGAAGAACAGGTCCACTAAGACCCTGCTGGCCGCCCCTAACCCAGGAAGATGCTCACTCATTCCCCACCTCTCCTATGTGTAAGACAGGCAACGAAGGCTATTTCACCCCCGTCCCGGTTACCTTGTGACAGAAAGTACGTCCTCGAGCCTGACCACAGCGTCTCATGCTATGTGTGGTCAGGGCCTATTCCCTGTACTCCCGAGGCTGCTGTCCTTGAGCAATCAGGAAACACGGGAAGAGAACAAAGGTTCTCTTTCCACAATGTGACTTTCTTTTTACAGGTTCTCCCACCTGCACCTCACACACCCTGGCAACGGCACCACTTTTTCTGGCTCTCCCTCTCCATCCTTAATTCCTAATGAGATCCTGCGGGCACAGGCAGACCTTGTCAGCACGCCAGCTCCCTGATCAGCCACCCGTGCATTTTTTCAGAACTCCGAGCCGAGCACAATGGTCAGCTGGTGTTCTTTACTCAAGTTTATGTGTTTGTCTTTAGCAAAGATTGTTTCTGCTCCAGATATTGCAAAATATATACCTGCCACTCTGGACGCCCTGTCCCTTTGTCTGTCTGGATTTCAATCTCTGCCCTTGTGATCCTGTGGTCCCACCAGCAGCAAAGCCCTAACTGGTTCTCGTTCAGATTCCCAAACCCAGCCCTAAGGTCCCCTTAATGGCAGAGAGCCTGGCTACAATCCTCTCACCACCAAGGAGCACTGATAACTTTTAAGAACGACTCTGTGATATATTCCAGGGTGCTGCCATCAGGAGAGCACTAAATCTGAAACCTGGGCATTGTATCTCAAAGCAGTAGGACAAGGAAAACTGCCGGTGTGCCAGGAGAGCAAGTCCAGCTTGAAGGCCCCCTTAGTCCTTTGCTTTCTCTGTCACCTTGGTTCTTGAGTCTCATTTTTCTCATTTGAAGCAACTCTGCACAGTGCCTGATGCATAACCAGACCTTAGTAACAGCTGAGCCGCCAAAACGGGTATTAAACTCCCTTGGCCTCTTTCCTCAATCTCTTGTTGGGGCCTGTTAAGTGTAAAAGACGTGAATGTTGCTGGACTCCCACTCGCAAGGTGTGTATGGTAGGGGAAGGGTGTCAGCAACGCATTGTGTGATTCCTAAAAGTACAGAATCCTAGTCTTATCCTCATACCATCTCTTGCTGATTTTCTGGGCATCGTTTTCAGAATCCGCATCCAAGGTAAGTACCATTCTGAAGCTGTGGCATCACTGGGCCCAACGAACGACTTTGAAGGAATGAGAAAATACTTGATATCCCTGTATGTCCTTGGCCACAGAGCCCTCTTTCTAAGGCCACAGGTAGGTGGACTCACTTTGAACTCATGGTATGATCTGCTAGCATTGAGAGCAGCAGTAGAACTGACGGAACACAGGCAGGAGAAGGTGGTAGAGGAGAATGGGACCCAACGGGACCTGATGGGATACCCCCTGCAGCTTTTGGTCCCCCTGATAATTACCACTAGCACCCTCAGGCCCCTCAAGCTTCCCTGCCACTCACAGCATCGGGCAAAAGCTGTTTCTTGTACTGACCCACAGATGATGCATCTCAATGCTGAGTCTGAAGTCTCATCAACAGTCCTCCTCGGTTCTCCAAAACCGCACTGCAAATATCCATGGGAACCAGTCACCCTCATAGCCTGTGGTCATGTGTCTGAGACAGGAAGGCCACAGGTGTGTGTATGTAACACTCTGCAGAGAATTTACATGCTGCCTGCAAATGCCTCCATTAGGAAGCCTGTCCGCCTACACCAGTTCCAAAGTCAGAGTCTAGGGAGGACTCCTGAGGATGGCCAGTCTTCCCTTCCCTGTGTTCCTGCTTGTCCATTAGCAGTTTCTGAATCTAATGTCTGCACCCACCAATTACCACAGCACAGTAGGTGGGAAGGGCAGAGCCACCACTAGGATTTCATGGATGGGAGCAAATGTCACAAATCACAAACCCCAGTGGGGTCTTTATTTCCCCTGACATCCCCATCCTCAGGAGGAATCAATCACTGTTTTTAAAACTCAGTCTTCGCTGAGGAATACGAAGACGCATCTCAGGAACTTAGCACCAACTTACACTTTTAGGACGCTGGACAGGGTTGAAGCTGGAAGGACGGAGAATGTACTGTTGTCTTCCATGCAAAGAGCTCCCTGTGGTCACAGGGAACCTGTTTTTTATATACCTATAACCTGAAGCCTCATCCTGTCAGGATTCCACCCTGGAGCCAGTTCCCTCCAGGGAGGAATGCCCGATTATATCGGGTGGGGTAGCTGTGATCACGCGATGGAGACAGGCAGCCTACAGGAGGTACACTTATCCCCCTGGGACACAAAGGCTGCCTCCTCCTGACACCTAATGGGTCTCTCTAACTGCTTCAAGAGATAGGGACTGAAAGACACAGACTGCTCCTTCTACCCTTAAAGAATGACTTGATGACACCTCGGTGGGTTGGGTGTCACTAGTTCAGGGTTCTTCCAGTGGCCAACAGGCTTCACTTACTGGTTCCTCTTTGCCGATTCTAATCTAAGGCTGGGGAGAGGATTCCATTGGTAAAGTGCTCACCACACAGCCATAAGGACCCTAGGTTCCATCTCTAGCACCCACAAACTGGATACAACAATGTTTTCCTGTAACTCCAGCCCTAGGAAGGCAGAAAGAAGGTCCCTTGGGCTGGCTGGCCAACAGTCCAGTCAAATGAGGACATTCCTGGTTCCGTGAGAGACCTTATCTCAAAGACGGAAAACAATCAAGGAAAACATCTGATATTGACCTCTGGACACCATATGTATATAGCCGTGCACACAAACAGATACATGCAGAAACCCCCCCCCCCAAAAAAAAATAAGACAAAGAATGTTTAAAATTGTTTTCAAAAAAAAATATCCTATGAAGTAATTAAAAGGTATCACAGGCCATTAAACACTTGCTGCCAGGTGACTATCAGATCATCTAGCCCTATCCCCACTAGGTACATAGTTGCTGGCCAAGTCTTAGCGATCGATGACTTTAGCTGTTGATGAACAATTGTCACACGGGCATGGTCCATGTAAAGCCTTGGGCCAAAGAGAGAAAAGCACAACTTGAGTTGCCCTGATGCTGGCATTCATGGTCCGGAAAAGTGATGGAGAGAGAGAGGGCTGGTCAGGGCAAGGCCTTTCCGTGCTCAAGCCAATGAGAAGGACCCTTCTTTACAATGGTTGGAGGCTCCATCTATCCTACTCCCTACTGCCTGGCCTTCCTGCAGCCTGTTGAGCCCAGAGTTTGGAATTCAAACCAGGAACAGACATGACAAACGCTATTTTTCATTTCCATGGAGACCAGAGCCTGCATTGGAACCGGGGCTCCATGCCTGAAATGCCAAAACAGGCTGACCCACTTTCCCCCTCTTCTGTAAAAACAAAATAAGTTTGTTTGGGTCCTTCCAGGGCACAGGAGAAGCCAGGGCTGCTGATATCTCCGTGGATAGTTCAAAGAGAAACAAATTAGGGTCACCACAAGTACCACTGAGCGTACTACAGAAGCAGCCAGAGGCCAGGCCGCAGAACACACAGTCACAGGCTACACCCAATGCACACCACTTCCTTGTCCACTTTCTTCAGAGAAAGACTCAGAGCCTCTACAGCAAGTCCTTAAGACCAGCTACACTGAAAGCATCAAGATGGCTTCCCTACTTCATCTTTTTTTATTATTATTATTTATTATGTATACAATGCTCTGTGTGTATGCCTGAAGGTCAGAAGAGGGTACCAGACCTCATTACAGATGGTTGAGCCACCATGTGGTTGCTGGGAATTGAACTCAGGACCTTTGGGATAGCAGGCAATCCTCTTAACCACTGAGCCATCTCTCCAGCCCCCTACTTGATCTTATATCATTTATCCCTGTGTTTTTCCAGCCTCCCTGAGTCATTCTCCTCGAACCCATGTCCACCTCTGCCTGGCAGTTGCTACTTGACCTCTGTGTCCTTCTGAAGTTTCACACTTTGGCTCCTTTCCCACCACTGCATCAAAATTAAAGTGTTACCTCTCTGGAACAAAGCAGCCTTGAGGTCCCCCCAGAATCCTCACCCCGTTGCTCCTTTCAGTTTCCTGGTCAGGCTTCTGAGCCTTCACTGTTTAGCACCATAATGAACACTGTTAGGGGTGGGGTCCTGCCTCTAGAGAAGTTCCCCAATGCCTCTACAGGAACAAGTGCCACACGCTGGGATCACAGGCCTGCACTAAATGACAGCAGGGCTATCCACTCAAGCACACCCTTAGACATACCTTTGTGAAGCTCGCCAAGTCTGCCTTCTTTATAACTCCGGCTCTCAGTCTTTATTCTGACTTCTTAATCGATAAAAAACTGAAATATGACATCACTTCCAAACTCCTGGCTGGCCTTGTCATTTTGTCTAGACATCAGAGTATCTGGGTTTAAAATTCTGAGCTCTTTGGTGCCCCTGAGAAATCTTTCTGGGAACCTGTGTTCCTTGGCTGTTTAAAGGTTATGAGCTGCCTTACCTGAAGGAGTCTTAAAAGGAATAAACCTAGACAGGGCATCCCAAACGGAGAGGGGTTCCTGTAATTGCCCATGGAGCAAAAGGGGGTTTAAATTTTAATGCAAATCCCCAGTGAGGAAACTGGATCTTGTTCTTAAATCCTGTGCCTTCCTTGTGGCAGAGGTACAAGAGAGAGTATAGTCACTGTACAACTCCCTAATTCCATAGAGCAGAGACTTAAAAACAAAGCAGAAGATATCGAAATCACAGACAGAACATGCTGGTGTGTTACAGCCTCATCCCCTGAGAGCGTTCTCAAAAGAGCAAATACTGAAGCACTGGGGTAAGGTGCTGCTGGGCTGGCTGTATGGTCTCTAACAGCCTAGTTTGGAAGGGGCCTTGGTAACACTTCCACTCAGGGCAGGAACTCTGCCTTCAGGGTGCTGGGGACCTCGGCCTGCGAGTTTCAATAACCGAGTATTCATAGGCCCATGGAGGCAGGTAGGATGTCTCTTAAAGGGGCTATATCAATGATCTTTTTTTTCTTTCTCTCTCTCTTTCCTTCTCTCCCTCCCTTCCCCACCCCTCTGATTTTTTTTTTTTTAATAAAGCTAATTTCACTTAGCATCAGCAAGCAAGGACTTTCTAAGTACCTCTAACATTGTAACACCAATTCACTCCCAGGGCCTACTGGGCAAGGGACTACTAGGTCATGGTTCTTTGTATCCACACATCAAACAAAACACGGGGCACGGAGTAGGGACTTAATAATACTTTTTAAACTTAGCTCTAGCAGTCTCTGTCAAATC